CAATCAAGTGTAACAGTTATTCAGGTGCAGGAAACAAGACAAATCTCCTAGACACTGTAACCCAATCAATGTTTGAGACCAGACAGTTTTAGTTCTTAATGAGCTGCTATCACCGTCATTCCTTGAAGAAAAAAAAATGTTCCTCCTTTTGGACACATTCCACTTATTAGTGTGTGTGTGTGTGTGTGTGTGTGTGTGTGTGTGTGTGTGTGTGTGTGTGTGTGTGTGTGTGTGTGTTTATGCGCGCGCGCGTCAGCCAGACTGCAGTAAAACAATTAGTTCCACTATTCTTTTTCTTTTCAGTGTGTGAGTGCTTCCTGCGTGGATTTGTTTTTGTTTGGTGTTGGATTCAGATAAAACCGTCCCAACCAGAGTTGTGTGTTCCCTCGTGTTGTGACCGTTCTGGTCAAAACCCTCAGTGTTCGTGTGTGGTTTCAATCAGTTCCAGTTGTTACCGCTGGCCAGGCAGATACTACAGTACAGTCCCTACTAGCTCTGTGCTACTAAACAGAAGTCTGCTTTGAGGCATTTTTTTCAAGCTGTTGTAAGTGCTCTCCCCAAAAGAGTCCTCATACGATCATAATATTGCATTAGCCAATCATTAAGCAGAACACCCAGGCGCCTATACACACTTCTTATGGGGGGTAAAAATAAAAAAAAATGAATAATATTTATAAAAAAATGTATGTATCCATTATTCTATTTTCTCTACCGGGTTATCTATGAGCTGGAGCCAATCCCAGATGAATTTAGGCAAGAGCCGCCTCAGTAACACAGTCATAAAATGTTATCGTGAAAATATATTGAGTCATGTATAAAATAACATTTTACTGCTTCTCTGTCCGTCACTTGATTTCAAATAGTTTTGGACAGTACTTGTCTGTGTTTTCCCTGCATGTCATGAAAGCACAACAGCCGATTGTTCTTTCGGCATTCTCAAGCAACACGTTCTCCCTCAACCCAAAACATCGCCATTACAGATGTCACGTCTGCTCTGCAGGTGCTGCGCGGTTGTGCTCGGAGTTGAGATTAATTGTGACACTGCGGCGAATAAGAGTGGAGGTTTTCAGTTGAGGAAACACAGTCTCTCTACATCTCGAAATTATCTCCCCTGTTATTGTTGCATGACTTTTAATTAGGGTCAGTGAAGTGTCATCATTTGACCTGATTGACATCCAAAGTAACATGATACAAGATTAGGATTTCGTTCAAGGGCTTATTTAATAACAGTCCTGTACAGTATATACATTAGCATGCCATCATATTTTGGGCGATTATTTTTAATGTCTTCTGTTGTGGTTGTTATTATTAGAATTCTTATCATTGACAGTATATTCCACATCCAAACAGATTGGAGTTCTGTGTTTCTACATACAAATTGGTCAAGTGGTAGAAAACAGGTTGACTGGGACAGAAAGGCAGTAGAGTTCCCAGTAAAAGAATCTGGAAGCTATGCTATCCTGCTGATTGATGCTTTAGAACAAGGGCGTCAAACGCATTTTTGTCGCGGGCCACATTGTAGTTACGGTTTCCCCTTGGAGGGCCGTTATGACTGTGAATTTTGTGAAACCATGTAAATGTTTAATCACCTCCACATGTTACATACACAGCACGCAACAAATTGATGGATAGCGATTTTTGAAATCAGAAGTCAAGAATAATGACTTGTTTAAACATTGTTTACGTTATTTTAAAAGGGGTTTGGAAACGAGAAAATGCTTGCAATATCTCCATGTTATTATGGATTGCATATGACAATTTGAAATTTTGGTTCCGACTTTAGCAAGCATGATGGAAGTTGACATGCTTGATTTGCTTTCGCGGGCCACATAAAATGATGTGGCGGGCCAGATCTGGCCCTCGGGCCTTGACTTTGAAACCTGTGCTTTAGAAGATATCACATCATTTGCATCAGCCCATATAGTAGCTCTGTGTGTTTATGTATTTGTGTGTGTGTGTGTGTGTGTGTGTGTGTGTGTGTGCGTGTTTGCTTTAATAGCTGTGTTTACTGTCAGAGCGAATGTCTTCCGCATTGCCCCTCAGGGATACACACACACACACACACACACACACGAACACGCAAGTGCATTGTGAACACACACATTGAACACTGCAAACACGCATAAACACATGTACAATATGTGAATAAACAAACGCGCATATTCCCTCAAAACACATGTAAGCACATTGCCCGGGTCTCTTCTGACCTTCATGATTGCTCTGGTCTGATTCGAATTAGAGGCTCATCATTCTCAGATCTCACTAATGGCGCTGAGGTCAGGCGGTTTGGTGGTTTGATGCTGATGCCAGCAAACAATTGGTTGAGGGCCTGCTTGGATGGCACTAAGGGCTCTGGTGGGAATGGATTTAGTTCTCAGGAACTCCAAAACAAGACCTGCATACTTTTAACCCATAATCCTCCATTGGCAGCAAGAGTCCAAATGAGTCAGTCGGCCGCACATGCTCGGAATTGAATCAGCTGACCACATGATTGGCACGCATAATATAATGTGCAGATGTTATCCTAATATTCAGATAACAGGTGTTATATGCTCACTGGTCGAATCATTAAGTGCACTTGCTCACTCTGAGACCGAACGTTACAGTTTGGCAGGGTTGAGGACCCGAGTCCAGGAAAGCGAGGAGGCGAGGCAGGAGAGTTCTCAAAAATGGGAACAGAGTCCTTTTTACAATACGTTAATTATGGACCTTAGGTGTAGCACTGCTCATACGCAAACTGTGGGCCTAATAAGTGGAGAGTGCATAATACTTTGCAAATGGAGCAAAGCTACAGTAGTTTTTCACTTTTATCACACTGGACTGCTTCAGCTAATATTGACACGAGCTACAGTAGGTCGGACATGGGCAAGTAGCAGCCCATGGGCCGTATCCCCACCCTCAATCAGTGTAGCCTGCGAGTTGGGGTGGGGGGAGGAGGAGTGTGGGGGGGTTACAATGTGAATTAGTCCCAACTTGTAATGACTTCAACACTGATTTGGACAAGCTTAACTGCTGCTACAGCTGAGGAACAAGAACACATTTTTGGTAGCAATCCAACTTAAGGACTTAATTGTGTTGTTCAGCAACTTTTCTCTCCATTCTAGAACAACTGTTTTTCAAAAAAAAAAAAAAAGCAATGAGCGATCAATAGCATTCACAAAGACAAATACAGTTATTGTTCAACTTCAAACTTCAAAACAGCATTGTCACAAAAGTGCTTGGCTGGTCGCATTTTGGTGGGATTTGACAAAAGCATCCCCCTTTTCGAAATGGGCTTTCATTTGGATGGCGTTTTTCTACCGTCAGTACTCAAAGCCCTGGACACTGTTTCCTCATTCACATACTGATGACGCAGTATCAGAAGCAACTGGGAGTCCAGTTTCTTGCTCTAGAACACTTTGATATGACCGGGGAGTGAACCCACAACCACTGAGCCCTGAGACAAGCATTCTACGACTGAGGCATGCCACCCCACTTGTTCTTCTCCAAATGACGGCAGGGCATTCAATTGGCTGGGTAGTGACATAATAGCAAGTCCAAGAAACAAAGCACCATAGTTAAAATGGTGGTTTCATCACTTTATTTAATGACTTACGGCCATTTTCATGGGGACAGCACTTCTGCTCCTACTCTGTGGATGATATGAAATCGCTTTCAATTCAGTTTTTCACATCTTGTACATCTATATAATGGCATTCCACACACAGAAGTCAACGAGAATAAGATTGAAACCACGCATACTTTTTTTTACTCTTTCTCCCATTCTTATAAATGAGGGTGACCTTTGCGTCACTCAGCTGGCTGCCAACTGCAATTACTCGTGTTGGCGTTTTTCGATGAGCGCAGGCTTGCTTGGCTAGAGATACAGTGTGCAGTATATCCGAGCCGCCCGTTTATGCTGCAGTCACATTGACAGGTATGCAATACATATCCGATTTTTACCCACATTTGGTAGAGGCCTAGTCCTGATCTGAGGATATCCGTGTGTTTCGTTTTGTTTTGTTTTTTTCTTGCTCTCTCTACGCTGCCATGACCCACATCTGAATTGTGCCACTTGGGAAGCAAAAAAATTGGAAGTGTGTCACTTGCACCATGTTGTGTAAACGAAGTGGAGTTTTGAGGGATCATGGGTGTGTTTCTCTGTGAAAGGACGCCCCCCCCCCGACCCCCTGTCATTTGACATCTCTCTGTACAGTGTACTTTTCTTTTGCAGCTCAAACTGAGACACCAAGTGTCAACTTATTTATAAGGCTATGCCAGCTACGAGAGGAAATGTATTTCAAGGGCGTGCGGAGGGAATGTGAATTTGGAGGTGAGAAGACGGGGACGGGAAAACAGATAGAGAAGTGAGCAAGAGCTGCTAAAATAAATAAACATCGCCGGGAAGTGTTGAGTCCATGCTCAGGACGTGGTTTGGCTTGTGTGTGTGTGCGTGCGTGCGTGCGTGAGTGTGTACCTAATAACAGTTTCATTAGAGCGGCCTTTGGTGCCAGAGAACACATAAAACACCGAGACATGCTGGGTATTTATCTATTTTATTTATTTTTTTTTTTAGATTATATGTATAGGATGTGTTCTCCTTTGAACATATATCCTCTCACGCGCATACTTATGGAGCCGCAAGATTTCAGGTTACGAAAGTGTGCGCATAGACCCCTGAACAGTCCCGGGGGGTTGACGCTTAACGACTTCCAGATGCAAGTTGAGCACAGAAAACACACCAACACAGACACAGACAAATCTTCTGCTTTGTTGAAGTCAGCAGAACTGCTTTTGAAATTAATGAAGTGCGTGTGGATGTGAATAACAACAAGAGTTGACATGTTTTCACAGACAAGAGAGTATGGCTTGGTCATCATACAAATAATGGCCAAGAAAAGCAGCTATTCATACAGCACGTTGTATAGTGGGAATCGATTTCAAAATAAAGTTAAATCATGTGCTCTTGGATTAAAAAAAAAAAAAAGTTATCTAAAGTGCTTGTGTGATTGTTTTTCCAGATGTGGCCAATATCTACACTGAGCCCCTCATATTGAGGTCAGATGTCATCCCGGAGAGGACACAAGGTAACGACGGAGGCAAATGCAAAAGCAGCCTCTCGCACACGGAGCTACCGACACCCAGCAGGAGTATCACATGTGAGTAAATAGCCCACTCTCACGCACACGGACAAACAAACGGAGAGAGGCTGGTGAAAATTGCGTTTCCATTACATATCACCAGATCGGATGAGTCACATTGTCCTGACCTTTAACAAATTGGCCCACAAAAATGTCCACATTGTCGGCCAAGTAGGTTACGTTCTTGATTTTTGAACACAAGCAAGGCCGCGGCCAAATCGGCGCACTTGAAATCAAACACATTTTCCTCCTTGTCTTCTGTCCTCTGCCTCTCTTCATTATGGGGAAAATGAGCGTTGTCGTTACCGTGACGACGGTGGACGAGTGTGGCCGCTACTGTGAAATTTGCCTCCGTTTTGTAAGTCTCATTTAATTGTTCGCGGTTCACGGGACATTATGCTATCAGTCAAATCAATAAGGAATCCTAATGAAATATTAGATTTAATCAATTGAAAGCCACACTGTCTGATGTCACGTTCTCTTCCAGCGGCCTCCAAAGCTTTTTTTCCCTTCCTCCAGCCTTTCAAAAAAAAATACATTGAATGCCTATGTGTGCTGTTTTACTTGTTATTTTTAATGCACCGCATATTTTAGCTAGGGGAAGAAAAAAAACCAACAACAACAACAACAAAGGCTCCGTTTGAGCCCTGCTAGGGACCTTCCTTCTTATGTCAAATGGGCTAAAACAATCAAAAAGAAAAGAAACTGCTCTATCGGAAAGATGCATTCACGATCAAACACTCAACAACTTGTGTTGACTATTGAACCACAGAACATGAATACCCGTGTTTTCCACTGCTGGACTTTTAGATCTCTTTCCCGCTTACCTTGTTTGGTCCGAACTAAAATAGCCGGTGTGAAAAGTGTCTGAGACAGCCGTCTGGACCAACGAGCCAAAATTTGATCGGACTAAAAGAGGTGGTTTGGGGTTAGATCAAATTGTGTTACAGTCTGCTCAGCTTATTTTGCAGTGTCATAACTTTCTGAACACTTTCCGAACAATGACAAGAAGTCGAAGTAGGACTGCCACATTTTAAATTGTACAAAAAAATACAAACATTTTCTTTTTTTTTTTTTTTTTACAATATGGGAAGATGATGCTCATGCACATTATGATGACGGAACACTCAAAGGATTGGAATATTATATCTGTGGTTTGATGATTTATTCAGTTAAAAATTATCTCGGAATTGATTGTTGCTTGCCTGTTGGCTTTCTGTCAAGGTCCAAAAACAAAGGTGTTAAGTTAACTATAAAGTGCTCAACAGCAAATTTTAAAACATCTGTCAGTTCTTTAAGCTATTTTCATTTTTTTGTTTTGAAGTTTGACCCATAAAAGCTTGCGCAATATCGATTTTACCATGCGTTGTAATTTATAGCCATGACGTTACAGGAAAAAAAAAATCTGCCTAACCCTTTCAGAAATATTACTAACTCTATGACTAGAATACATATTATATTGTTGATATTATATGATTATTATGATTATTAGCAAAACCTAATGAGCTTGACAAAAAAAATGAGAGTGGATTCAAAATCATCAGTTGACTTGCATCTCTGATTCAAAAATACAGTAAAAAAAATTGCCATTGCCACTTGATATGCAATTGTTTTTCAAGGTACTCTTCGCATGATGTTTTTTTTTTTTTTTTAACCCAACATAATTTATTTATTTTGTTGTTGTTGTTTTAATTATTTTAACATAAGAACCCAACTCTGTTATGATACAGCAGCGCGCCACTGATGGCTGCATCCCTGAAATGATTCGTTGTCCCGTTCTGCGTTGCTCCTGCTCGCTCCATCGCACCAATCCACCTCTTTTTTGTGATGCGAACGTCCCAAACACCTGGAAATCCTTTCTTTTGAGTCATATCGTTATCAACCAACACCACCCACTTCCCTCCCTCATATTTTCAGTCCAACGTGTCAGCCAAGGAGTCTGTCTCTCACTCCTTTCGTCTGCAGCTCAGCGACGTCCACTGTATCAGAGCCAAAGGTTACGCCACCATCGATGTCTATTTGTCTTGCTCTGGCTCCAGTTTGAAGTCAGGCAAATGTTAACCAAATACTTCTACTGTGTCATTTACTCACTTAGAAGTTTGCGCTGTACACCCACAGCCATGGAGCTAAGTCCCCGAATGATTACGCTCTGAACAATGCGCCTCACATTGTCTAAATATGCATTTCCTGCCATTTTGTAACAATGACTAAAAAGAGCACATGGAGAACGGGAAGGCTTTTTGAATAAGTTGACATATGAGCTCGTGTTAGAGACCTTTTTTTTTTTTTTTTTCACCCCGTGGAATCCAGTAACGGATGACGCGCACATCCAAACCTGCCCTTGGCTAATAGCTACTTTGTGGCAACCGACTGACCCGCAGCTCAGTCAGGAAGCGTCTAAGTAGGTGAATGGCGAGTGTGTGAGTGGCTGTGTGAACGTCTGCTGTGTCTGTCTGTGGTTTTGCTTCTCTACCTGTTCTGTCTGCCGTGTGTGTCCCTATTTTCAGGTCCAATAAAGTGCTAGCTTAAGTCATGTGCTTTCTTCCTCCCCCTGTTGGGGTTTTATACGCCTATAAAATCTATGGAACCCGCTGACTCCATATGGGACGCAGAGCGTTATTTAGTTGGAATCTTTGACCATGCTTCACACTTCACTTTCTTTTCTTAGCGAGGTTGCTTCAACTATAACACGACCACACAAACCAAGGCCGGGTACACACGTTCAGATAATTGGATTGTTTTTGTTCCGATTTTGCCAAGGGCCCAACACTCTTATGTCATATTAGTTTGTCATATAAGATTGTCCCTACGTCTGAGGTGTGATAAGAGTGGATTTGTCCTGATAACAGGGTCGAAAATAGCTTCAATTTTAAACGTGTTCAATATTTACACCCTTCACAGACAGTATGTCAGGAAATCATGACAATGTGGACTGTGACATGAATGGAATGGAGCCCATCAAACACGCTGACAAACAAGGAAGTAGCTGGAAATCAAATAAAATACGTTCTACCCGATGTTTGTTATCAGTATAAAAGTGGGCTCCCCCAGATGACAAGGAGCGCTTTGTATTTTCTTGCCCACATCGCCATTCATCGAAGAACGCCGCCTTCCTATGATCCTCTTCAGAAACACTCGGGAAAACACCAGCGTATATTCGCAAGTGTCTCTTCTTTGTTTTTGTGAGATCACGTGATCACTACGCGAGATTTCTGCCTGGGATGACTTAGATTCGAGATTGATGGTGAGGCAGAATCTTCAGGTCTGTGTTGTTCCGCGTTGACATAATCAGAACAGGCCACACATACAACACGACAGTTCAAAAAGAAAAAAAAAATTAAGATTTCGAAAATCCTTGCATGTACCAGGCCCCAGACACATAAAATGACTCAAGGCATGTGCTGAGGTCATGTCTTTGTGAAATCTGCTTATTAGTGTGTATTTGTTTGCGTGGAGCGTGAGGAAACAGAAGCCAAAACAGAAGGTTTCTCGACACTGACGTTGCGATGACAATGTAGCACAAGCATGTGTCTGGCGAGGGGCCTACGACCGGCCGTCTGAAAACAATGTGCTGCGAGTGCTGCTAACGTGCGAGTGTGAGTTAGGCCGACGCACTCCTCATCAGCGATGTCGTGAACCTGTCTTTGACGTCAGGGTCTCAGCAGGATGTGCTTGTTTAACGACCCTGCCTCACCACGGCCATTTATTAGTGAGCGGTTCGCTGTAGTGTTTATGACACAAGGCCGACTTCGAAATGCTGGGTCGTAGTTTTTTTAAAAATGGATCTCGATTCCTCTCTGACTCATGCCATACTTCTGCAAGAAGACCGGTCGTTTTTTTTTTCTGCAGATGTGTCGACAGCCCCGCAAACTGATGACCCCTCAAAGTATGATGTCTTTCACATAGACGACAATGGAGTTTTTTGGGGGGGGTTGTTTTATGCATTTTGTCATCACGGGCTGTGCAGTTGTGTCATCGGTAAGGAAATTTAGCAGGACAGTGACAAACGACACTCAGGGGGTCACTTCAGTAGCTATAACCGATGAATGAGATCCAGCCCGAGAAATACAGTCAAAAATTCCGATATTTCAAACAATGTTCAGGTTTCTGCTATGCACACACATTATACAGTCTCACAACCAGTTGCTCCCTTTCGATCTCTCCCTAGATTCAAACTGTAGCAGTGGAGATGAAGCCGTTAGAGCCAAACATAGTCATCCTAGTGGCTCATGCCAACAGAGGATAAGTACAGAGATGAACACGTCTCTGGGTTGGGAAGGAGATGTCTAAGTACAGGGTAGCCGAGATATGTCGAGAAAGGAGGTAGAGGGTGTGGGTGTGAATGAGGAAGGGCGTGCGGGTGCGTGAAGAAGGGTGGGCTGTTGAGTGTTTGTGACTCATGTTTAATTGCACACTCTGGCACCTTGCGCTTAATAATATGCATCATAATATATGGATCGGGGACGACACGTGCTGCAGTTTCCTCGTCTCATCCTGTCAACACCACACATTGGCCCGATTTCGCTGTTATTTTTAAGCACTGCTGATTCATTGTCGATGAGTCACCTCTGCGCAAGTCCTCCTTGCTCCAAATATCAAACTTACAAACACCGACCCACTTCTTTGCTTTCTCTCTCTCGCTCACGTTCACTTCATCTCACTTCTTGACATTCTCAATTTCAGACAAAGGGACCTTGTGTTTTTTTTTTTTTTGTTTTTTGTTTTTTTCTTTCCAGAGTGAGGCCTTCACGTGTTCATGCATGCATATATTTGTGTGCGCAAGTGGGTTTAACCTCAAGCTCTTTTTGGAGACAATCCTGACTCCTGGGTTCTCAAAGTTCGTCTCTTTGCATGCCAGATCCTGCTATATGCTCTCTTAAACACACACACACGCACACGCACACACTTACATTCATGCTAGCAGTGCGATATGAGGGGTACACTTGGCTGCAAGAAGATACAGGAGAGGCTAAAGAAAGCAGTGAACAATGCGAACCTTGAGGCGTACGCACCATCCC